CTGCTACCACAGCGGGTTCTAACCGAAACCTAACCTCCACAACATCGTGGTCTGAGTTGCCCAGGCGGGACAGGACAGCAGTGCTGTAAGGGACAGGATGCGTGGTCAGAAAGAGATCCAGCAGGCTTCTGGCATGTGATGAGACGCGGGGAAAAAGTAGGGCTCGCCACCAGCTGGGTCAGCCCTTGAGTAAGAGCGAACGCTTCACCTGCATCACCTGCTGCATGGGTCTTGTTTGAGCCCAACCAAAGCTCATCATGGGTATTTAAGTCACCGATGAGAACTGCCTTTGAAGCGGGGTGATTGATGTTCAGGAAGTCGATCTTGACCGCGAGGTATTCAAGTAGGTCATCCCAGTTATAAACCACAACTCCCCCGTTCTTTCTCAGATTTGAGTGCAACTCGTAATTTGGGAAGCTGAGATGGGTAATCGGTGCAGACTCTGAGGTGTTTGTCTCCGTAAAGGAAAACATGGCGGGACGATTGGATTCCAAGAAGTGATGAACAGCATCAATGCTGCTGTTAGTCCCGCAGATGTTCGTAAAACAAATTTTATCTTCGATGTTGTTCCCTAGACCCCACCCTCCACCCGGACATTCCGAGAGTGGAGTGAGTTTACGTCCGAAATTCTTAGTACTCGAGGGATCCATCATCATTAGTTTTTTTGTTTTGGAAGATAACCGACTGCATAGCTTAGGTGTGGAAACATGCGGACACTTATAAGACACCTTGGGAAAAGCTAGCGGGTAGTACCGCCTCGGTCGACTGGTCCTTGTCTACCACATTCTTTTTGCGTGTTAATGATGTTAAATAGACCCAAAGTGGCCCGTTGGCGGACTTGTACCGTCACCCGGCAATCGGTACTGAGGTATTCCTTAACGCGTGTACAATCACTTGAACGGGAAGAAGTTGTATAGTGGATACAACAACTTCCGGAACAAGCATTTGCCACGGCCCCGCTCAGTAGGGAATTCTGTACATTTAATTCGATATTTGTATTCTGAGAGAGATTCTAAATAATTTCTATTAAACATACTTTGGCGTAGATAGTTGAAACTACATTTTTATGTTTAACATTCAATTTTTTGCTCGCCGTCCGTATGTCGTTTAGTAAGCTGCGTCAGTACATACATTATCAACTGTTACCAGAATCGACCACTGCCCGAGGGAAAGTAAGCAAGCTGTCAGTTGGAACTGTATGCCAATTCACATCGCCAGCCGGGTCACCACTATGCCCGCTGGATGCCGCCGATGCTGGCGCTATAGTAGGTACGCTCTTCTCGCCACAGAACAACCTAGTGACATATCATATTTCTTTTGCCTATACTATACTGAATATTACCGAAAAATTCTTTTTCTGAATTGTCTTTTTGACCACGCTATATATGACTCTGTGCCACATTGTTTTATTGCAACATAAGAATCTGGTTCTACTACGTAGCAACATGCAATCCACACGGTCAGTAGTAATAAGATAATGATGCACTTTTCCCATACGGAGGCATCCAGGGTCTTTTTATTTGGTCGTAAAACAGTCGCTCTCTGCAAGAGCTTGACCTTTAAACATAACGACAGTGTTTGGCCACAAGAGAATAAAAGTATTTTATAAATGATGCTGAAATGTAGGTGATAGTGATAGATATACTAAGTGACAAACGAAGTAGGATTCCCAGTAAACATGATTTTATTTTGAATAAAATTACATGAGAAAGTGGAAGAAGAGATTGAATTTTGGAGCGAATACTATTACAGTACGACATCATTTTCAGCTGTATTCATTGTTTACTTTGTCTGTGGCAGCCGCTAACGTTAGACGTGTTTTTAAGAGCTCGGCGATTTTCTTTTGTATCAGATTTTGCGTAAAAAATGAATTAAAGTGCAACGAATTGTCTGAAATGGCAACGAAGGCCTGTCCTATGGTGTGTCTACTATTAGTAAAACAATAGTTTATGAGTGGTTCAATGGTTTTCAAGTTGACCATGAAGACGTTGAAGATAACCAACGGGCCGGGCATCAGCGCATAACCGAATAAAACGTGGAAAAACTGAAAGAAATGGTTATGAAATCACAATAAGAGAAGTCGCTGATGATGTTAAAAGCGCATCGCAGAAAGAGCTATCCCAAGGATCGAGTTTGAGAATTGTTTCAAGGATTGGAAGAAGCGCTGGCACAAGTGTATAATATCTAATGGGGATTATTTTGAAGGCAACAACAGATTAATAATCAAGTCTACGTTAAAAAAATGAAAATTCCCGTTATTTACTGAACACACCTCGTATATGGCATCAAAGTGCCAAAGTTTACTTTAAAATTTAATAACCACTACCTCTTGCTTATCTTTAACTGTATACAAAATTTCATTCAAATAAGATCATTTTTACTTACTGTTCCAATTTGTTTGTAACAGCAGAGTATATTTTTATAAATGGACGCATTCAGGAAACAACAATGATACTGAAGGTTTGGTAACCACTACCATCTAGGAGCCGAGCCTGATTGTGCATATTCATATGAGTCACTATGTCTAATTTCGACACGATTCCGAATCCTAAATCGAAGTCCTCATGCTACTGTCAAAACCATTATAGTGGGTTATTAGTGTGACCTGTGACAGCAAGGCTACATCAAATTAATTTCAAGGGTCGAAATACAGTTAGAATCAGACTCCTGGAGGGGTAACGGGTACCAGGTGCGGATCCAGGAGGGCAACATTGCCCCCACGGCCTCAGACTTACAAGAAAAAAATAAGGAAAGTGGAAAGAAGCAGAGACCACATTGTCTTTTGATATGAGAATTTGACGTAAAATAAATGTACATTGTGTTCTTATAATAAGCGCATACGACTTGACAATACACCCTTGAAAGTTGGCGACCCACACTACTGCCCTCCCCGCCCCACGTGATCCTGGATCATCGCTGCACAGTTACTGTATTTTCTTATATTAGAAATATCTCAAATATTCATTTCATTTTGTTATTTGATTAGAAGATATACTAAGTGACATATAAATCCGAACACCCAGTTTAAATGGTTTTCTTTTAATAAAATTTTGTATAAGTACTTAATGAAGCATAATAAGTAAATGATAAAAATTTCAAAATGATTGCACTGCTTTAAAGCCCTTTGACCTTTAATAATGTGTGGATGCACCCTGATGTGCTACGCATTATCCAACGCGCCTAGGCATGCTTCTGATCAGGTGGTCAATGTCCTCCTGTGGTATCTCATTCCAGGCAACCACCAACTCCTCTCGAAGTGCTTCTAGAGTCTGAGGAGGACGTTGCAAATTGAGCAATCTCCTACCCATCATATCCCACACGTGCTCAATTGGGGATAAGTCGGGAGATCTTGGTGGCCATGGTAAGAATGTGACATCATTATGTTGAAAGAAGTCTATTGTGACTCTTGCAACATGTGGTCGGGCATTATCTTGTTGGAAAGTTGGATCTGCCAGGGTGTCAAGATAGGGTAAAAGATGGGGTTCTAGAACTTCGTGGATATAACGCTGCGCGTTCAAGTTACCTCTGATGAAGATTAAAGCTGACCTGGAACCATAAGCTATAGCACCCCAAACCATAACTCCAACAGTGTGATGAACATGTCTTTCAACCTTTCACCACGTCGCCTTCGAACCCTGGCACGACCATCGTGCATGCCTAAACAAAATCGAGACTCGTCACTAATGACAATACTGTTCCATTCCTGATCCCAGAGTGACCGTTGTCTGCACCACTCAAGGCGGTTACGTCGGTGTTCTCGAGTTAAAGGGAGGACCCAGTGTGGCCGGTATGAAAACAAGCCAAAACTTCTCATTCGTCGGTCAACACTTCGCATGCCAATAGGTCTTCCGTGATCTGCAAACCATTCATTTGCAATGGACCTGGTAGTGGAGAAACGGTCCCTTAAGGCCAATAATCTTAGGCGGCGATCTTCACGGTCTGTTGTTCTACGGCGGCGTCCAGTGCCCCTTGCTCTTTGCGTACGGCCTTCTCGAAGCCATGCCTGACAGCACCTAACCACAGTGTCTACACTTCTTTGCACTCTAACTGCAATTGCCCGAAAAGAAAGTCCAGCTTCCCGAAGTCCCACTATACGGCCCCTATCAAACTCACTAAGTTGACGAAATCGTACAGGACTCCGTACTCTAGGCATCGTAACCGATCATAAAGGATGTCAAGAACCAAAATCCGCCAACGTTGATTCTTTACTGCGGCTGAAATATTCATTTTTAGAGCGTTAGTGAATTAAAAAAAGCAGTATAAAAACCGGAATGTCCAACTGATAAGGCTGAAAATTTTTTCACTTGTTATTTACACTAAGATAAATACATTCACCAACTCTTATTAAAATAAAACCATTTAAACTGGGTGTTCGGATTTATATGTCACTTAGTATACTACTGTATAATGTTATAGAACGACATATCTAATATCGATGTCGCAAATATGACCGACATATTATTTTTTATGGATAAAAATCACACTGGATCCAACGCCAAAATGAATATGTACCAAGACTGTATTTCCCTCTTTTGATCGAAATCAATCAAATGTAAATTTTGACATTTTGCTTTCCAAAATCGTTATTTTTAGGCCTTTATTGTACATCTCTAAAAATAGCTAAATTGTTATTCATGGACATTAGGTGGGGCCTCAGCTGTCAAAAGTTCGTTGTATTATACAGTATCGTTCAAAATTTATTTAAAAGAAACCCAGTAGCGCCCTTAGGAAGCATGTATCTCCGAAGGGGAGCCCCGTAGAACATTTTTCAAGAACTTTTGGGACTTGTTTTTATTTTATGTTGACGAAGATAAGTGTGATATTACACTAATTCAGAAAAAGTGTATTTTTTTCTAAGGTCAGAGGAAATACTTGTTCGTGTTTGAACAACCTTATCAAGACATATAATCGCAACACTACCTGCCACAATAGGCAAACTCTAATAATATGCTCAGTTTTTCCATCTTTGATAAAATCATTACTCAGGACAAATAACTTACTTTTCTTTGTGCAGATATTCCCTTCGGTCGCTGTATAGGTGACATTTTCGAACAGTATATCGACAGGCGACCGTTGAGGAAGCATAGAAAATTTGGCATTTTCGAAAAAGGCTTTCTCGGGGTCTGCGGTGACCATCGGTTTGGACGGATAGACGCTGTCAGTCTTTTCGCGCCCATTCCCGACCGTCGCGGTACTACTCTCGTGCAACAGTACTTCCATAATGATATGCTAGCTAGCCGCGCTCTTTAACTGTTCAGCAGCTCGCTTCGATGCTGGCTGCTTTTCGGCTTGATTAGATACTGAACATTGTTTATCTGGCTATGGTCATTATATACAGAGTGCGCATACTGATTGGACCGTGATTAAAGTCCATCTTATTCATTGTCAATGTAGTTCTCTCCGTCAGTACGCGGAATACGGCGCCGCTAAGTGATGTCTCTTATCTTTATCACAATTTTGAGAGTTCGATTCATCCGATCAAAGCATAGGTGTAACAATGGGAACACGTTTGTTCTGATAATGCAAATGATTATTTAGATATCAAGAAATCTGCTGGTATTGACAATATACCGCCAACATTTATCAAAAAATGTAAAATGAATTTATACAAACCGCTTACTATAATTTACAACACCTCTTTAGAATATAATTGACGTGTTTTCCGAAGCTTGGAAGACCCTCCATTACAACCATTTTTAAAAGTGGAGACAGGTACAGCGCTATTAGCAGGCTCTGCATGTTCTCGAAGATGTCCAAAAAACTAATTCGTGATGTAAAAGACATAATCTTCCGAAAAAGATTTACAGAGTTGGTTTCCGATGCTTTGGACAGAAATATTCAACATCGGCTTTGTTAAACCTATGCAACAACACCTTTCGCTCTCTTGACGAAAAAAAATGAATTTGGCTTTGATATCTGTCGACTACTCCAAAGCCTTCGATAAGTTAGATCATAAACTTTTATGTGCTAAAGCTATGTTCTGTTGGTTGTGATGTGGTTGTAATCAAATTCTTTAAAAATAGGACTCAATTTATTCCATTGAATGGTATAACATGGTCACCCGCACACCTTCAGGAGTACCTCTGGGTTCTATTCTGGGTCCTCTTTTGTTCTTAATTTAAACCTTATCTACATAGATCAGTTCACAACTCAGATATTCAATCATTGGCTGATGACACCCAGCTCTCCCATTGTTTCAGTATAGATGACATAGAGGGCTCCGTTCCAGTATTGCAGGAAGCTATTGATAAATAATCTATGCAAATATTCAGCAGATTTTATTGTTTTGTTCTGAGAGCAGGAGAAACGACGTTGTTTCGCGCCTGAATGTGAAAATCGACAATGAGCAGCTCCAGCTCACCAATAGTGCTGAAATATTGTGCGTGGAATTCGATATCAAGCTGAGATTCACTGAGCATGTAAAAAGTCTGACGCAAAAAACCTATGCACGCCTAGGCAGTCTTTATTCAAACAGATAACTGCTAAACTTTAAAAAGAGGAAAAACTGCGAGACCTTAGTTGTGTCTGCCTTGAACTACTGCAGTATCTTATATTATCCCTGTTTAGATGAGATCACTAAACATAGAATCCAATTGATTCTAAACAGCTGTGTTCGCTTCATATTCGGCATGAGAAAGTTCGACAATGTATCCCATAAATATGCAGAGTTGAGATGACCAAAGTTTGATGAGTTGGTCAAGATATATTTTGCGATATTCATCCATAAAATTTTAACTAATTTTAAGCCAGAGTACCTACGTGAAAAAATAATATTCAATAACACTATACAATATAGAGCTACTAGGTACAGGTACGTTATCAGAATTCCGAGGCATACAACAACGTTGTTCCAAGGAAGTTTCTCATATACTGTTGCAGTTATATAATGGGTGATTTTTTGCTAGTATCTTTTTGGCAACACTGTTTTTGAGAGATGACGCGTGAATCGTGTCTTGCGTCATTGTCAAACTAGTTCAGTTTGGTCTATAATTTAACCATGAATCGACTTACGAACGAACAACGCTTGCAATTTATTGAATTTTACTATCAAAATTCATGCTCGGTTAAGAGAGTGCATCGAGCACTGCTTCCAACTTATGGGCAATTTGGTCGGCCTACTGAGGGAGCATTCGGAAGCTTGTGACTAAATTTCGAACCCAGTTTACATTATTGGACATTAAACCACCAATACGCAGAAGAGAAAATATTGCGGCTGTACCCGCCAGTGTTGACCGTGAAATGTCGATTCGCCGCCGTTCGCAGCAATTGGGCCTCTGTCACTCCACTACCTGGAAAATTTTGCGACAGGATTTGGGTGTAAAACCTTATAAGATACAGCTGGTGCAAGAATTGAAGCCACACGACCTTCCACAACGTTTCCAATTTGGTGAATGGGCGCTGGCAAGACGAAGCTCATTTCTGGTTGAATGGGTACGTTAACAAGCAAAATTGCCGCATCTGGAGTGAAGACCAGCCAGAAGCATTGCAATAGCTACCAATGCATCTCGAAAAAATCACTGTTTGGTGTGGATTATGGGCCGGTGGCATCATCGGGCCGTACTTCTTCAAAGACGACAATGGTCGGAACGTACCTGTGAATGGCGAGCGCTGCCGTGCGATGATAACAAACTTTTTTTTGCCCAAAATGGAAGAGCTGAACTTGCCTGACATGTGGTTTCAACAAGACGGTGCCACATGCCACACCGCACACGAAACAATGGCCCTATTGAGAGGCGAGTTCGGTGAATAGTTTATCTCACGTTTGGGGCCCGTCAATTGGCCGCCTAGATCGTGTGATTTAATGCCGTTGGACTATTTTTTGTGGGGCCATGTTAAGGCTAATGTCTACAGGGATAAACCAGCAACGATTGATGCACTGGAAGCCAATATTGAAGCATTTATTCGTGAGATACCGGCCGATATGTTGGAGAGAGTGTGCCAAAATTGGACCTTGCGCATGGGCCATCTAAAGCGGAGCCGCGGCCAAGATTTACATGAAATAATCTTTAAACATTAAAATATATTGACCGTTCTATCGACTCAGATAAAGATTTAATCGTTTTTTCAAATTTTTTGTGTTGTTTTTGAAAATCAAATCCTATACCTCGTAAAAAATCACTCGTTATATACATGTTTTGTATAAATTATTTAATAAAGACGTTCATTATTATTATTATCATTAATAAATGCCCAAGTCGATGATATATATACCATCTTCAGCAAGACTCTTGATCGAGTTAACCATACTCGTAGTTTGCTATTAACAAAACTTCCTGAGGTTGGTGTTCGAAGCTCTCTTGTAAAGTAGATATAAGTATAAGTCGAAAGTCCATAATCGGGAGTTCCTCAGGGCAACTACCTAGGTCCATTGTCCCTCTTAATTATCTATATAAACGATATCGCGCAATACTTCAGCCATTGTCAATTTATTTTTTAACGCGGAGAAATGACCTGCTCCTTAATAATTCGAAATGCCCATCGTTCACATTCACTAAAAGAAGAAACCTATTTCAAGTATGCATATTAGATAGATAACGTCAATATTATGCAATATTTGGGGCCTGGGTTCGATTGAAACAATAAATAAAACTAATAAGATTCTTGACTTTAATAGAAGACACTCTAGATACGTCAACAACCTTGGTACGCTGTTAGCATAAACTAATGCTTTTGTATTTAGTAATTTTTCTTTCGCGTTTATTTTTTGAAACCCACACTAAGAAGCCCACATACCTGTAAGAAGAATTGCGTCTATTCAACATAGGTCCTTGCGAATTCTGCCTTATAAGGCGAATAGCATTTCCATAGTGATGATTACCGCTTAGCAATGGAAAGTTTCTAAATCTTACATCTGGCCATATGGTATTATCTGATTTGTTTTCTTGACAGAATCTTGCAAAATCAAAATGACTGCTGGTACCTTTCATTGGAAATCAACATACTGAAATTTACCAATAAGACTACATCTCAGGCACTATTTATACCTCTATATTCCGTTTTGCAGCAATAATATTGGTCTAAACAGTTTAGTGATACAAATAAAAAGAAATCTGAATAATTACGGCAAAGTTGATATTATGCTCATCATGAATTGCTAAAGTTTAAGGATTTTTATTGCATATAACTTAGTATTCTAACATTGTGGATGCCCATTTTGAAAATTTTCTGTTTGATCCCCTAATTTGATAAGCAAATAAATATCCTAAGCGCGAACATAAGGATCTTAATTCAGTGATTCGGTTTTCACCAACGGAACACACAAAGATTACGAATAATTTCAAAATCTAAATATCTTGTTTTACATCCTGTTGACGTGAATACAGTAATTTCCACCGGTAAATCTGTCATCTTCGTATATAATTAGTAGCACTTCAACTTGAAAGGTACCAGCCGGATTTCTATCAAGTGATAGTAAATAACAGCCGCAGCAAGGGTGTGTTATTGAGAGTTGACCCTGAGTCAGTGACCGTATGATCAAAAAACTGATCCTCATTGGTTTTCTCAAAAGGAGAATATGTTCGACATAATACAGGGGCCTCCGATACTGTGGATCTTAGATTAAAAAAAATGTCCTTTGGGATTAGGCATGACGAATGATCCTTCAGGTGGCGAAACACACGATAAATGACCCTTCTGTGGCTTTTCTTTGCTCTTCGATTACCTGCATTCTTTGAAGCCTGCAACTCCTTAGCATGTCGCTGAATACGGTGGTAGTGAGCTAATGTCGCGAAACGCTTGGAAGATGTTGCTAAGCTTTGATTTTCCCTGGAACTTCTTCAACTATAATCTATTGCTTAACTATGTGACAGCTAACAAATTTAATTAGTTTAGGTAAATTCCGATTTCTTAAAGTCTACCTGAATCTATGAAACTAGTTCGATTAAAACAAAACGCAACCGCTTGATTGAATTTAATAAACCGTTTACGTAGATTGATTACACCAATTTATTAAAAATTAATTAACTATTTAAATAAGTTTACAAGCTCCAAGTGATACAATTTAATTATATTTATTAAAATTGCTTAATTAGCTTAGGTAAAAGTGTTTACCTAGATTTATTGATTTGTTCTATTTAGATATAAAATGACATTTGTATAATATTTGGGATTCAAAAAACAAAATGCATGTTACTGATATTGTGATATTGATAGTTGATGTTTTCAAATCCTATATATGAATTATACAATATAAAAGAAAAACACATGAAACATATGTGAATCACATGCTCGGTATAAATGTCGTCCATTGACCACAGTGTTTTATTTCGAGCGAGAAATATACCAAACACCAACAATGGAAAATTAGAATATGAAGCTCCTCGCGAAAATCACAAATGAAACTGAGGATTTCGAAACCCGTCACCGGCAGTGCATCTGACGCACAATCCCGATCATTCACGAATGAAGAGCCGAGCCTGCCGAGTCCGCGATTCAAACGAACACTTTCAGTGTTTTTATTAAAACGTTTGATTATTTCAAATGTACCTTTTCTATATTTTTTTTATACTCCAACTACCACGAAGGCCTAAGGCGTAAGCACCCATTGGGCACCGGGGCTATAGGGGGATACATGGGAAAGGGGGAACGCCACACGGACTCTGGCGAGGGAACACGTGTGCATGCAACATGCACACATTCTGGCTCCGCCTACGAGATCCGCCGGGTGGTACCTCCACGTTCGACAGTCAGAGACCATCTACCACCTACGGACAATCACAACATCCATAGCCAAGAGAAAAATTTCTCCTGGGACGGGTTTCGAACCCGCACAGCGCACGGCGACTGATCAGGAGACCGAAGAGTCTACTACTGCGGCCACCGCTGCTGCCTACATAAACTATATTACCTAAACAAATTAAACAGTTTATTTGGCTTAGTTAAATTTGTTCTCAGTGTTCAATACCTTTCGCATGAAATATATATCCAATTTGAATACGGGCATACACGCCTATGCATGGAATAATTTATTATTGAATAGACGAATTATCTCTGATCTGACGCGGTTTATTGTTTGATATAATTATAATAAGTCTTTCTCCAATATTTGATAAACCAACTGAACTACATCATCTGAGCGGAAATTTGAACAATGAAGGTATTTATTATTAATTTGTAATACTACGGAAATAAGTCAAGAAATTAATCCCTGGACTATGCGCGTAAATAGTTTGTCCAAAATTGGTGGAATAGCATGAGGATTTCGGAAACGGCTGAAGTTTGCATTTACCTGAGAAAAATTGCATATTATAATTACTTACGCACGGAACTTAAAGAAATAAGCAATTCTGATTCTTCAACCGATTATTTACAAAGATATACTCTTGTCGATTTTGGATTCGATTTATTTATGCATTATTCTTAATAACTACTCTACAAAAATCAGAATTATGTGGGTATACCCAAATATGTAAGCAATGGGCAGATATCAATTAAAAGAACAACTTTGTTGTCCAGGATATTAATCGAACACCTCATTTCTGATAAAGTGTGTGCCTCCATGCACTACGACAGAATTGCAATGTTAGTGAACAGGCTAGTAGGCATAGTTATAACAACGTAAATAAGTATCGAACTACTATTATATATTAGAGAGTCTTTAGTGCGACAAAAATAACGAATCGTCAAGCTTTCCGTTACGTTATTTTTGACAGCGACAGCAAATAACGAAGATTTGAAAAAGAAGAATTTATATGACCACTAAAGTGAACCGTGGTAATTTGGTTGCTTATTTTTAAAATTTTGACGTGAGGCTAACCTCAAAATTGCTAAACCTTGGTGAATTTTTTTAAGGAAAAGTTTCATTATATTTGTTATACACCAGACAACAATGTTTACAATCATGGAACTACAGAACGACAAGTGACCACCAAACCAGCATAACTAAAACAAAAAGCTACCTTTTGTAACATTGCATGCAATGTGCATATAAGACAGATCGGGGCAGTTTAATTCTTTCAGAACACTGCCTGTTTCTTACATTTATTTTAATCTGTCATCTGATACCTACTCATATTTCCATTAAATTTCAACCAATATGTTTGTATAAATTGAAATTGTTTTAATTAAGATTACCCATCATTATGAATTCCGGCAACAGCGCTGCATAAGGAAAAAATAACCTCACGAAATAAGCCCGCCTCCGTGATTAACAAAACTCTCTTATTTGGATAACGGAAACGAAGGATTGTCTCGCTACTACGCAAAATCGAAATAACGAAGCAGTAAAGCAAGAGCACTAAACACTCTCTCGTTTAACATTTTTCACAAAATATGGGCTTTAGTAGGGTACAGAGTGACCAACTTCGAGGTCATGTATTTCGGAAGCTACTCGTAGTAAAACGTTTGCGCTAAAGGACATACGTTTGTCCTACGTTTTCAGATCCACAACGTATAAGTGCGTTATTTTACAATATATATATATATATATATATATATATATATATATATATCCAAAAGTCCATTCCACTGCGGGATCCTACCCACAGGTACAGGTACACAACTTATAGGATTATCACAGCTGGAGTTAAAGATCAAATTATTATATTACTTTAGTTCCTGAACTATATATGATGCGGACTTACAACAAAAGATATAGAAGAACATCAAAATGAGACTAGAGGCGTTTTACGTGTGTGTTTGCGTTACACATTAGGTACAGATTGCCATTCTTATTTATCGATATTTTGTTCGGAAGCAAAAAGTTACTTTGACGTCGCCAGGGGTACGGCTATTCCCATCATTACTTTTGAAGATCTGCATAGGTAGTAAGTAATGTGCTGTACGATTGCTCTGGCTGTGTAATGGTAGTAGCATACTGTACAAATTTAACTGCTCCTCTTAACACTAGAGTATCGAGCCTTCCTCTTAATTCGATCCAAAAGCACGCGAGAAAGGCGTTGCTCAGCAGTCAGATGACCCCTATTCCCTTTCATTGATTCGTCAGTGGTATAATAATGTCAGGATTTTAACCATGTGATTGACATATAAAAGTTAGGTTATCTTAGGTTAGGTTACATGTTACATTTGTGGTTACATTTTTGAAACATTGCCACATAAGGCAGATTTTTACAATAGTTCTCCCCGTTTAAACAATGTCTAACAAAACTCCTAATCAGCATATCCCTAGAGTTGCAGAAACCATAAACTTTCCAGAAGAAGAGGAGAAAATCCTCGATTATTGGAAAAAATAGATGCCTTCCAGTCATGCCTCAAACAGTCCAAAGGAAAACCTAGGTACTATTTATAGATTGTCGCTGAAAGTTATGTTTTATTCTTAAATATAAATTTCACCAGGTTTCTTTCTACGATGGTCCTCCTTTCGCTACAGGCCTACCGCACTATGGCCACATTCTGGCAGGAACGATCAAAGACGTAGTGACCAGGTATGCCCACCAACAAGGCTACCATGTCGAAAGAAGGTTTGGCTGGGATTGTCATGGCCTTCCAGTAGAATATGAAATAGATAAGGCGCTGGGGATTAAAGGGCCAGCTGATGTAATGAAAATGGGTATTGAGAAATACAATTCTGAGTGCCGAAAGATTGTTACTAGGTACAGTAAAGAGTGGGAGATCATAATTGGCAGAATTGGAAGATGGATAGGTAAGCAAGCATTGGCTTAGATGGCAATTATGAAGAATTATCTGGAATTTGTCTATTTTACCATATATTATCAATCATTACAAATATTGATTTGCATATTCTTCATAGATGATAAAAGATGAGAGAAAAATTAAATGAACCCTCAGAATCTCAGCAGCAGTTAGAGATAGGCTGTGTTCACACTAGCATTAGCATTTAATTGGATTTAACTTGTTATCAGGCATCTCTATTAAACATTCCATCATAAAATACAATATTGCTATGATAATGTTGGTGCTGTATCTGTTTTAAGTTTCGAAATTTCAGACTAACTTTATAAATGTAATTTTTGTGACTCAGTCCTCCCACCAACTTCAAAATAATGAAAATACGAGATAATACAAGTCTACTGCACTAATATCAAAAAATATTCCAAATGTAATGCTGTGATATTGATAGGACTTGGATGCAAAACAGAATATCCATATATTTTTCAATGGATATCTTACAATATTATTCACAAATATGATGTTCTTCATGGAATTTACAGGGGAACAGTCAAACAACAGATAGACCAATTGACATGAGTCCCATGTTTGTTATGCAACATGTGCAAAGCTGTAGTTCCATAGTATTACAGCAATAAGATTTGATAATATTTACTGGTATACTAGCATACCACTATTGCAACAGCATTATATCAATGAATAAGTTCCCAGTTTTGATTAGTGCCTGCTGTTGACTTATATCTGCAATTTGGTTTCAGATTTTAAAAATGATTACAAGACTCTTCACCCTTCGTTCATGGAATCAGTATGGTGGGTGTTCAAACAGCTCTATGTGAAAGGCTTGGTCTACCAAGGAAATAAGGCAAGTTTTTATTAACCTTACGTTTCATGTACTCATTCTTATTTACAATTTAAGGTAATGCCTTACTCTACAGCCTGCAATACCCCTCTTTCCAACTTTGAAGCAAATCAAAACTACAAAGATGTAGTTGATCCCACTGTTGTTGTAAGCCTGCCTGTACTTAATGACTCTGATGGAGCAGCATTGCTAATATGGACAACCACTCCTTGGACCCTGCCTAGCAATCTTGCAGCTTGCGTTCATCCAGACTTAGTATATGCAAAGCTGAAACAGCTCAGCACCAATAAAGTGTACATTATGATGGAATCTAGAATAGAAAGTGTTTTCCCAGCAGATGATTATAAGGTAAGTTACACAGTTCAGCTGCAATTAGTGTATTTGGTCTCTTAGTAGTGTTCAATTCATCACAAAATTACATAATATTCATATTTGGACATTTTACTGAACTCAGACACGTTTTGTTTGCATCCTAATAGTTAATGTGAAATCCAGGTTGAAGAATTGCTCATGTTGTAAATTTGTTCTACACAGTGAGGTATTCCTACAACATGTTTATCACATTTTCATAAATTCAATATTTGGAGTAAAATTTTATGTTGTTTTTTGAAAGTAATGGTTTGAATTCTGATGCTACTATATCAAAAGAAGTAGTAGCTGTAATCCTATTATAAAGATTTGCAGCATTATACATAATGATGGGGAACTCAAATGTTTATTGTATATTTGAGAGTTCTATTGTCAACTTCAGTAGAAAACAGTAGTTTTTGGAGAAGGATTGTAAATGTCATTTTACTTAAATTCTAACATCTTGTTTCATGTCAAGGTTAATTAATCACATCTGCAACATAGTTTTGAAAAAAAATAAATTCTTCCAAAATTCTGAATAATTCCACTTTGCTGTTCCTAATGCTTATTTCAGGTATTGAAAACCTTCCCAGGAAAAGAACTGAAAGGTTTGAAGTACCAACCAATGTTTGATTACTTCTCTCATATGAAAGATAAGGCATTTGTTGTTCTGGTTGATGAATATGTTACATCTGAATCTGGTACAGGAATTGTACATCAAGCTCCTTACTTTGGAGAGGATGATTACAGGTATTTGAATCTCATTATTTCCTTTTTTTTTGACATGTTGACACCTATAGTAATTTCTATTGCAGGCTGTTCAAAAAGTCATACATTGAATCAAATAAAACACATGGTTGTCTTTAGATAGATCTAATGGATTAAAAAGTACACAGGGTAGACTTATGTTTATGTTAAGATTTGCAGCATTATATGAGAAACAACGGGACATAATGATGGGGAACTCAAATCTTCTTTGTATATCTAAGGGTTTTATTGTAAACTTCAGTAGCAAAAAGTAGTTTGTGGAGAAGGATTGCAAATGTCCCCTAACCTTAGGCAGAAAGAAGTTTATAGATACTCCTGTATTGAATGACTAAATCTAACGGTGCATCAACGAAATTTAGCGACTGTTAAAAAACGGTCATTTGGTGCAGGCATGCCCCTGCTCAAAAAAACATTCTGATTCGGTTCTTTTGCATAATTTTATTCAAAAAGTACTACCTCTTTCAACGAATGTCTTATCCGGCCCATAATTGTGGCGAACATTGTTAAAATAAGATTTCTATCAAATGCCAAAAATTTAGGTTTTTGCCCTGTACAAAGTTTTTAGGGTTTTTGGGTCAATCTGAATAAAAAAGTTTTTATGAACATTTCGCTAAAGTTTATAATTTTTGGAGATAATAGCGATTTATATTTGAAAAAGTGCAAATTATGCTATTTTCGAATCGTAAAAACAAAATCAAAAAACTCATGTAATGTAAAGTTTCTGAATACTCTCCCAAGATCCAGTAACATGTCTCTTGCACCCATGCAGAAGATACATTGGGCGGGGCGCTTAATTCACAATCAAAACAAAGGTTTATAATAAGAACTCTCAAAAATGCCGATATTACCCGATATTTGTCCAGACACACATGGGGATTGCGACATGAAACCAAAGCTTATGCAAAAGAAAGCAAAGTCAAGGTCATGTGCTGTTCCATACATAACTCTATGATTTAATAAATGCATAACAGGCTAAAAATAAATACTGGTTCCTACTTAATTCAAATCTTACACCCTGTATAATAACCAGTGTCTCAGTAGGTATATCATATCTCCAAAACCAAGTCAGATATTTCCACGGTGTTCAAGTACCAGGAGTAGGTATTGCCATTTCTATAAGAATTTGACCTACTCGTCACTCATTATTATTGCATTCTTCGTGCAACAGGCAACAGTTTATATCAATTTTATGTGTTGACTCAAATTAGAAATTGAGTCTGAATACATTATTTTTTCAGAGTTACACTTGCTGCGGGAGTTATATCGAAGGATCAAGAACCAATTTGTCCAATTGACATGAGCGGTCGTTTTGCAGAGCCAGTCCATGATTTTATTGGACAATATGTCAAAGATGCTGATAAAAATATAATTGCTAAACTCAAGGATATGGGAAGACTTGTGCAGCAGTCGCAGGTAATATATGTGTTTAAAGACAAATCACTTTTTCGTCCAGGTTCCCATTTTGTATGCTCTTACATTTATACGCTCACAACATTAGTAATTCTAAACATATATTCCTTTATGTACTGATAAAGGCGTTGCGTGGAAAGTCAACCTACTTGACACCATTTGTTTTCATGTTAAAGATATCACTAATCACACTTACAATTTTCGTGTACGTATTGTCAAAAATTTCTCACGTTACTGGCGTATTGTAATCGCGAAAATATTATGTTTTTTTGGTACTACATGACATGTGCGTCACGAAAAACTATATGTCACTCATTTACATCGGTCTGTTGGTCTATCTGTCAGTCGATCCGTATCTGCCTATTTGTCCGTTAATCCTTGGCCCGCTTATAAATATTTTATCAATCTACTAGAATCCATTTTTGTTTCTTTCAGGTAAAACACAGTTACCCTTTCTGCTGGCGCTCAGATACTCCGCTGATCTACCGAGCTGTGCCATCATGGTTTATCAGAGTGGAGCATATGCAAGAGTCTTTATTAAAGTCGGCAGCCGAAACCTACTGGGTTCCGGATTCGTGAAAGATAAACGGTTTGGGAACTGGCTGAGGGATGCTAGAGATTGGGCTGTCAGTAGAAATCGGTACTGGGGTACTCCTATTCCTATCTGGATGTCACCAAATGGAGATGAAGTAAGTTTACTGCAATATAATAAGTTTAAACATCTCATACTCTTTTCAAATATCTTGTATACGATTTTGAAAATGTCGGTGATATTGGAGTATTATCCAAAATTATTATTTCAAACAATGCATTTGGTGTGATTTTACATTTTCTATGGACAAGAAGTGGCAAAGCTAGATCTCCAAATTTTATACATTTTACTTTGCGCTGATTCTAGGACGACGTACGATGTCTGTAATTTAAGTGATGAGACTACTTTTGTTTTAATAAGCACAATTTTATATTGTCATGTATTGAATTGAAATAACTTCCTTCTGAAGCCACACAGCACTGCAGGTGGTTCTTCCACTCCTCATAGCAATTCTGGAACCCCGATAGTGTAATAGCTGTCAGCTGGTCGGTTACAGCCTTTTGAATGTGTTCGACGGTCCCAAAATAAGTTCCCACGAGGTGATTTATCAACTTCGGGAAGAGAAAAAAGTTACAGGCGAATTAGGAGGCTGACGAGCCACACCGATATTTTTACTGGCCAAAAATTCTGTGTGACAAGGAGCATTATCGTGATGCAATACCCAATATCTGTCTTCCTCTTAAACCGCCGAAAAACCTGGGCTCTTGACAAAACACTATCTCCGTAGGCAAGAGTTTCTGTAGCACTGAGCCCAAGTTCAGAACACAGTAGGAAAAACTGTTTCACAAAAAAATCGCTAGGGACAAGCAAGGCGGATCACATGTTCTCCTGTCTCCCCTCTGAGCCCAGCGCCTCCAGTGTGTCAGATCGAACGCTACGTTGCCAGTCTCATCACTTAATTTGCAGACCTCTTATATGGTTACGGCATACCCTGGCCTTAGAATGTGACCCTACTTCTGGCATGTTAAGCATCCATTAGATAGTTTGACGTGGATAATATGGTCACATTCTAACAGTATCCATAATATTCTAATCCTAGTAGATGGTTCCTTTGGTGAGAAATAGAAGATTTAAATGAGCCGTGTTTACGTTTGTTTAAACAGGCGAGCTAAAATACGACAGTACATCATCCTTTTGTCTAGGTATTCAATACCCCATTGTATAAGCTTCCGTTTGCGTCATCTATTACTTTTTTTTCTATTTGAAAAATCAACACGCTTTTTACAAGGTGAAATCGATTTTTTTTATTGATAAATGAAGGTTGGTTTAGGCCATTTATGTATGAAAAATAACATCAGTCATGTGACCACCGCGGCTTCGTTTACATACCAACATCCGAACATCAAAATTTTAAATGACTTTTCCCAGAATAATCTGGTCTATGGCCGCAATTTCAGTCCGAATATTGCGCTTTAGGCCTTGAATTGTCCGGGGACCATTCGCATGCACTTTTCCTTTCAAAAATTCCCAAAGAAGATAGTCAAGAGGTGTTAAATCGCACGATCTCGGGGGCCAATTGAAATCTGAATTTCGTGAAATTATGCTGTCTTGAAATTTCGTGTGCAATAAGGCGATTGTTTGGCGAGATGTGAGCCGTTGCTCCGTCTTGATGAAATCAAAGATCGTCGGCACCAATACGATCCAATTGTAACCACAAAAAGTCTGTTAACATGCCGCGATAACGTTCCCCGTTGACGTAATGGCCTTTTCTTCAGCATCTTCAAAGAAGAATGGTCCTACGATGCCACCAGCCCATAATCCGCACCAAACAGTCACTTTTTAAGGATGGAGAAGTTGTTCATGATATTGGTGTGGATTTTCAGCCCCCCAGAATCTGCAATTTTGCTTATTTACGTACCCATTGAGGTGAAAATGACCCTCATCAGAAAAGAGCACTCTGGCCGAGAATCCGTCTTCTCTTTCCAGCAACTAATTAACAAAAACACGCCGCTGTAGATGGTCTGCCGGCTTCAATTCTTGTCTTAGTTGGATTTTGTATGGATGGAGGTATAAATCAATGTGTAAAATCCGGCGTAAAGTGGTCTCACTAATTCCCAATTGTTGCGAACGGCGCCTAGTCGAGGTGGTCGGATCTTCTCGCACACTTTCACTCACTGCGGCTATGTTTTCACGAGTACGAGCTGGACGAGGATGTTGGTATGGTCTACGACGTACAGCTGAACCAGTTTCCTCAAAACGATTAACAATCTAACGAATTCCAGCCTCTGTAGGGCGTCCATGTCGGCCAAAACTAGTGCGAAGTTCGCGAAAAGTATTTTTTATATTTCGACTGTTTTCGTAATAAGTTTGGATAACCAAAATGCGTTGCTGTGTTGTAAACAAATCCATGGCTATAAAATGGCATACCTTTGACAGTTCTTTTATGCATACCACATGACTTTTGACTCACATGGTAACACATATACTTATAGGTAAAAAAAAGTAATAGATGGCGCACCCAGTATTATTAAAGTGACTGGAAATGTTGCTCCCATTTTCTTAACCCTTATAACTATTATTTCCTGTAGATTGTGTGTGTCGGCAGTATTGATGAATTGGAAAGATTAACCGGCGTTAAAGTTGATGACCTACATAGAGAAACAATTGATAAGTTGGAGATCCCTAGTCAAATTCCAGGTAAGTTGAACAAACATTAATCCATTTGAATATGTAGTAATTTACTTGTTAGACCATTAAAGCCTGAGATATAAATAGTTTGAAATGAAAACAACTCCGAATTACATAGATAAAACTTAGTTATAATTTTATATGCTCAAAACAGTTTAATTAAAAAAATGTGATTTTCAAAATTTATTTGTAAAGCAGGGCGAATATTTTAAATGTTATATTAGAATTCCATAAAAACAAACATTCGGCCATTTTAAAAAATTACGAGTATGATACTAGAAATAAAAATAAACAAATAATTATTGCAAAACCAAAAAAAAAAAGGAAATGTTGAAATCTTCTATATACTTAGGTCAAAAATTATATCATAGCTTACCAAAATATATTAGAAAAAACCGGATATCATTATTAAAAGTACGAGCGACTATTGAATACTCATATAAACATGATGTAATTTATAAAAAACTAACATATAAATATATTTTTTTCAGTGCTAATCTACGATACAAAATTAATTTAATGTCTACATAATTATATTATATAGATTTTCTTAGTCCAATCAATTTATTGTAACTACTATGTTATGTTAGATTAACATCCACATACGAGGATATTCTCCTTTTGTGGCATATCAATTTATTCGCAATTTATAATATTGATGTGAATAAATTATTATTGTTATTATTATCAAAAAATTCACAAATTCATATCAACTTATCGATAAATATAAATTAAAGCTGAAACATTTTAATGGATTACGACGTGAATGCGCATAGCAGAGATGAAATGGCAACAAGGCCAAAAATAATCCGCCATCGGCCGAATAACTGTGACGAAATTGACGACCTGTATTTCCTTTCAAGATTTCGGCGTACAAAAAGGATTGTAGAAACAGAACTTTTCTCTATTAAGGAAACTGTGCAACTTCTTTTGCTCTCTATTATGCTTTTTTTTTACTGACCAATGATACTAAAATCATTTCCTCATTTTCTGAGACATTTTCAGCTTTTTTTTGTACTGGATTTGCTATCACAGAATAATCTGGCTTCTCATTTCAAAGTAGATTAACCGATTTTTCATCTCGCTTTCCTTTACACATATTTTGCTTTACATTAGGAAATCCTCCATTAAAAAGGATCTCAGAAGTGTTCGACTGTTGGTTTGAATCTGGATCGATGCCTTATGCTCAGCTCCACTATCCCTTTGAAAGAACTAAGGACTTCGAGGAATGTTTTCCTGCTGATTTCATAGCAGAAGGCATTGATCAAACTAGGGGCTGGTTTTACACGCTCATAGTCATATCCACGGCGCTGTTCGGAAAGGCACCGTTCAAGAATCTAATAGCTAATGGATTGGTTTTGGCCAGTGATGGACAGAAGATGTCTAAAAGTAAGAAAAACTATCCAGATCCGCTGAAGATTGTGAACATGTATGGAGCTGATGCTCTCAGGTTGTATTTGATCAATTCACCTGTTGTTAGGGCTGAAAATCTGCGGTTTAAGGAGGAAGGTAGGTCCCTATGTTTGTTATACAGCTTGTGCGGTGTCATGAGTCTTTGAATATTTTTTTGTGAAAACTGACTCGTCTCGATTAACCTGGCAATAGAACCACAGATGAAAAAAAGGAATTTATTTTTCAAATATTGATTCGCTTATATCTCGAAAACTATCACCGTTAGAGAAAACCTTTTTTGTTCAGAATCACTTTGTCGGGAGCAAAAAATATTTTTTGGAATTTGTCTTAAAAATTGCAATTATGAACCTGGCAATATGCAGATTTGGTAAAAGGGGCCATTTTTAACTAGAACTGTGCAAGAAACCGAATCAGCATATTTCTCCCAGCAGGTGCGGAAATACTTTCTGAACGAAGCGCATTCAAATATCACTTCTAAGGCGCTAATTATTTTTCTAGACGTGAATACCTTCCAATGTTTCAAATTGCTCTTTTTTGTCATAGCAAATTTCTAATTAACTAACGAGTGATTTGCACTAAACTGTTGGGGAGACAAATCTGAACTTCAGTTTATTCGTGCGTATGTTTTAAGGTGTTCGTGATATCGTGAAAGACGTCTTCTTGCCCTGGTATAATGCGTATCGCTTCCTGCTTCAAAACATTGAGGTCTATGTCCAAAACAATGACAATACTTTCACGTACGATGAGAAGAGGGTCTGCAGCTCGAACATTATGGATCGATGGATACTCTCGTTCACTCAGTCATTGTTGATGTACATAAGGAAAGAGATGGAGTTGTATCATCTGTATAATGTCATTCCCAGACTGACACAGTTTTTTGATTATCTCACCAACTGGTACGTGAGGATGAACAGGAAACGACTAAAAGGAGAAGGTAAGTTCAATATTTAATATCACCTATATTGCGATTTTGACTTCCTACCTTTCTGTTTTTTACAATGGATACTATTCGCGTGTTTACAATTCCGCCAGCGGTGTTCCTCAAGGCTCTAACTTAGGACCCCTATTGTTAATTCTTTTCGTCAATTATTTATGTGTCATATCCTCGGCGTTCTTTACGGAAGCATTCAGCTGCTTTGGGAATCCCTAGGTCAACACTGCATGGCATAATGAATAAAAAAAGGGTTTTCATCCTTATAAAATCGAATCAGTCCATGCTTCAAAGGAAAGTGATTACGTATTACGGAAATCCTGTGTTGAACGGAAATTTCCTTCGCAGCGCAGAATCGAGAACGTTGTTTTCAGTGACGAGGCCCATTGTTACTTAGACGGTTATGTGAACAAGCAAAATTGCCAAAAAAGAAACATCAACAACAGCTACATAGTTCAAAGGTGACTGGTTGGTGCGCCATACTCTCTAGCGGTATTATTGGGCCGTTCTTTAGAGATGAAAACGGTCAATTCCGAGCGATAAGAACAGAACGTCGATGTAACAGAAACACATGGTTTCAACAGGATAGGACCACTGCCCATACTTCCAGAGAATCGATACACACTGCGAAAGCACTTTTCCTCAAAAAGTTATATCGAAGTTTGGAGACATTCACTGGCCTCCTAGGTCACCCGACCTCACGTCATGCGATTATTTTTTGTCAAAAGTGCATTCCAATAATCTACGAACACTGGAGACAACATTCGACGAGAAATAAACTACATCACTCCGGATTCAGCAAGAGAGTTTCAGAATTTGCGCGCGCGACTAGAAGAGTGTGTCCGAAGGGATGCCAAACATTTGGACGGGACGATATTTAAGAAATAAAACCCGCCGAGGTTACGAATATGTTGATAGTAATAAATATTTTATTTTCATTAACTTGATATTTTTTTTCTCAAATCAAAAAGTGAACATTCCTGCTGGACATCCGGTACTTATCGAACCTAAAATCGTGCAGACTTTTTGACCCCGTTAAGTAAAAGGTCGCAATCTAGCGGAATACAAAGTGCGTCTTTTTCTCAAAATATCTAAAATAAGTTAAAAGTATAAAAAAGAGTTGTAGAGGGACACTGTTTCTCAAATCTGCACCGAAAATATTATATTATTATTGTCTCGACTATCATTGATCTAATGTCTGACAGAATATGAGAAACTTTATGTTTTTATTATTTGGTACTGGGTAATAAAATAAAAACACTACACATAAAAGGATGATATACAGGGTCCGGCAATGAAGTATGGTGTTTTTGAAAAAATTACAAACTTTCATTTTTAAACATACATCAAAATTTATTATTTTAATACATTAGTGGAATGATGCCATTTAAGTAACATAATATAGTCAGGTGCGAAAAATTACATCAGTTAGGTGGCGTCCATTCTTGTCGATGCATTCTTGGAGACGGATTGCAAAATCATCCATACTCCTTTCTAGCATGGCACGAGGAATCCTTTCAATTTCGCGCGTTATGAGTTCCGAAAGAGCCTCAAGAGTTTGCGGTTTGTCTATGTAAACTTTGGATTTTTAATAGCGCCATAAAAAGTAGTCACAACATGAAAGGTCTGGTGACCGAGGTGGCCATTCCACATTTCCATGCAACGAAATAAGGCGCCCAGAAAAATGTTCCCTTAAAAAGCCCATTGCAGCTCTTGATGTATGGCAAGTCGCCCCATCTTGTTGGAACCAAACTGTATTGATGTCAATGCGTCGTCTTCTTAGTTCGGGCAGAAAATAATCACGCAACATGGCGCAATAACGATCTGAGTTCACTGACTCTGTTCGTCCGTTTTCACGAAAAAAATACGGGCCAATTATGCAATTTCGAGATACGGCACACCAAACAGTTACCCTCTCAGAGTGCAGAGGTTGTTCATGCAGTTCTCGTGGGTTTTCGTGTGCCCAGTATCGGAAGTTTTGTTTGTTTACCATGCCCGATAAATGAAAATGGGCCTCGTCACTCATGAACAAAACGATGTTGCCGTGCAGCAATTCCAGCATCCTTTCTGCGAACCTGTGTCGTCTCACAAAGTCATTTTGGAGCAGCTTCTGCACAACCATAATTTTATACGGATGGTAATGGAGGTCCAAATGCAAGATTCTGCGAACTGAACGATCTGACATTCTAAGAACGCGAGCGTGACGTACCGCTGAACGGTGAGGGCTAGTATCCACCGCTTGTTGCACTCTTTCAATGTTTTCCGGAGGCTCGCACTGTTCGATCTCTTCCCCTTGCAGTACCAGGTCTCAACGATCCGGTTGTTTGAAATTTATTCACCCACTTCAAAATGGTATCGCGTCTTGGAACGCGACCATGCCGACCAACGTTAAAATGGTTTCGAAATCGTCGCTGTGTGAGCACAACAGAACGACCAGTTTCAATAAAAGTGTTGTAAATAAACACGCGATGTGCCACAGACCACGGCTCCAAGGCTACTAAAATGGCATCGCGGAACGAGTAGATATCAATCATCGTGAAAACATTGGCTCGACAGTGCTGCATGTAATAGTCGTTGCAAAAACACCATACTTCATTGCCGGACCCTGTATTTCTGTACCTTAGAGCCAGACTAGGTTAAGTCCAAATAAGCAGTTTTGAGATAATTGACATTGAAATATTTTTATTGTATTGTTGTATGCGACTTGACATGAGTTAAAAAGTCGTAACTTCCTTATCATTACAGATAGATGGACGCTACAAGTAGCAATGAAAATTCACTATATTATCATAGGCTTAACATACTGAACTCATTTTTGACAAAAATGGACTTAACCTAGTCTGGCTCTGGGGTACAGATTTTGAATTAAGGTGTACATGAATTTTATTTATAGGTGGGGAGGACGACTGTAGAACAGCCCTAACCACCCTCTTCGACATCTTGCTGAACATAATCAAAATGATGGCACCTTTCTCTCCTTTCCTCTCCGAAAATATGTACCAATGCCTCAAACAGCTGACAGAATCATCCAGCGAGAGCGTACATTACCTAATGTTGCCTCAACCGAATAAGGACCTCATAGATGTCACTATAGAGCGCGCGGTTTCTAGAATGCAGAGTGTTATAGAATTGGGAAGAGTTGTGAGAGATAGGAAGACTATACCGGTGAAATATCCGTTGCCGGAGGTCATCGTGGTGCATAGGGACCAACAGTATTTGGATGATATCCTATCGTTGCAGGTGAGATTTTGTAAAGGGTTTTTCAATAGCTGTATTCGAAATTTGGCAACATCTTGGTGTGACGTTTCAGGTGGCGCGGCTATTATTCCTCGATGTTTGTGTTCGGTCATAGTCACCATTTTACCATGGACCGCTGCACTGTGCAAGAACGCGTCGCAGTTGTTAAAATCTATTATAAACATTCGTGTTCTATTCGTCAAACTTTTCGCGAGCTTCGAAATATTTACGAAATAATCGTCGGACGGAGTGAACAATTTTACGAATTATCGCCAAATTTACTGTTTGGTGTGGGTTTTGGTCAGACGATCACAATTGGATGATCTGGATATGAACGACATGTAGTTCCATCAAGACGGCGCAACGTGTCGCACGTCGGCCATAACACTGCATTTATTGCAAGAAATGTTTCAAGGACACGTTATTTCCAGAAGAGGCGATGTGGAATAACCGCCAAGATCGGGCGACTAACGCCCTTACGGTGGATTTCACCAGGATTGTCAAATCAACAATCCGTTATTCCCCACCTATAGGGTAACAGTCCGTAAAAATACAGCGAATGAGCTTCAAGTTACAATCAACAAATTTTAGCAACCAATAGCTATGAAATGTTGAAAACAAAATACTGTCAAAGTATGAGATGACAGCTTGTCATTGAAGCATCACCAGCTTATTGAATATTAAGAAATTATATATGATTTGGTCAAAATTTAAAAAAGTGTTCGATTTTTGAATAAAATTCATGTTTTTATTTAATATTGTCGATAGTTTATTCATGTTTATATTATTTTCTTCAATTGATATGCGATTTTACTGATTCAACATGTATTTTTTCCTATAAACCTCTTGCAGATAGCCATTAAGCACCCACTTGATGCCAGGCTCTACCAAAAATTTCATAGATATTGCTCGTTTCCAAACATTCATTCATTTACTTGCCGTTTATCAGTACCATTATAGCACCGTCGTCGGCCAAGCAGAGTCTTTTATGAACTGATGGCAGCATTGCATGGGAAGTGCAGAATAAACCTAGAATAACCCTTACATATGACTCCATTTTCTCGCATTTGATTTACTTTTCTTTTATTTTCCAGGATTATATTCTGTCTGAACTGAACGTTAGGAGGATCAGCACGACCACGGATAAGGCCAAATTTGGAATTACATTGAGAGCTGAGCCCGACCACAAAATTTTAGGAGCGAGGTTAAAACAGGAGTTTAAGGCCGTTACCCAAGGGCTGAAAGCACTGACTGACACTGAAATAAATGAAATGGTCGAAAAAGGTCATAGAGAAATTGCTGGACAGCGAGTAGAAATCTCAGAGGTTAGTTGTATATCACATATCATCTTCCATATATGCCAAAAATATATTTCATCATATTATAAGGATCTTATTATGTATATTTGTTTGTTAGGTGAGGTTGATTTTCAAGTCCGAAACATTGAACACGGACCAATATGAGGTGAACAGTGACAATGACGTGCTGATTCTCTTGGACGTGACACCAGATTCGTCAATGCAAGATGAAGGTACTGCAAGGGAGATCATAAATAGGGTACAAAAATTAAGAAAGAAGGCTCACCTAGTCCCGACCGATGAAATTAAAGTGTTCTATAAAGCTGAAGGCGATTTGGAAAGGGTAGCAAAGGAGCACAAACAGTTTATAGAAGGTAGGATTCAGTAACTTTTTGGTCGATAGTAAATATTCATATTAGTAGAATGCCAGGCAATGTTAGCTATACGGATACTATGCTTGGGGATTTCAGAATAAAGCTGTTTTCTTTGGGGCGTATTTACATGCCGCTGAGAAATTTTATAGCTTACTGAGATATTTGGAAAAAACTAAATGTGGGCCAAGTCATTTTTATTTTTTTCTGATTTCATTTTTAGAAATCTCAAAAAACTAATGAATCTTTTCCATTGGCACTGTTTAGGCACTATATTCGTTTTTGTGAAACCATCATCTACCTTTTTTTTATATGGTCCGAAAAAAGTACACCCTGTATCTAATGGCATTTTCTAAACGAACTGGTTATAAGGAAAAATGCGTTTTTCCTGATTTTTTTATTTTTCTAAGCAGGCAAACAAATGCTTGAATTGACGTAAATACCTGTCACCGAGTATTGTTATAATTCTGTATTGTTAGTATTAATTTATTATCGTCAAAGATGCCAGGATGTCATTTTAGCAATGAAGACAGGTTCGAAATGCTGAGGTGATATATTTTGTTCTACAAAAATAATACGTAAGTCCATTTTCTTAGAGTTGGCTCAACATTTAAAAAGTCTGTTATGTCTCGAAAAAGGAATCTTTAGAGAAAACTCAGAATAATACAGGGTGGCCCATAAGTCCTTTGAGCTGGAAAAAAAGGAATAAAACCAAACTAGTTACTTTATGAAGAATTATTATATTTTGTTATCATCTTTATTGAATGGGAATTATGTTTTAAAAATCACATCGTCTAAATGCAATCCATTACGATCACGGCACTCATATAAACGACGTCTAAAATTGTCGATGACAGCGCGGCAAGTCAACACTGTAATGCTTGCCATTTGTCTTCGGATATTTTCTTTCAGGACATCAACTGATCGCGGAGTGGTGTCGTACACTTTACTCTTGAGGTAGCCCCATAAAAAGAAGTCCATTGGGGTCAAATCTGGACTACGTGGTGGCCAGGAAATGTCTCCTCTTCGAGAAATTACTTTGCTGGGAAAAAGTTGACCCACGACGGGCATAGAAGTGTTGGAGGGTGAGCAGTTGCTCCGTCCTGTTGAAACCAGGTCTGCGTATTATAGCCTGGAAAATTCTGCAACGCTGGTGTCAAAAACTCTTCTATCATTGCTACATACCGCTCCGAAGTAACAGTTAATGCGCGACCTCTGTCGTCCTCAAAAAAATAAGGGCCTACGATGCCATGCGCTGACATAGCAGCCCAAACTGTAACTTTAGGGCTGTGTAAGGGCTTCTGATGCTTACGCCTTGGATTTTCGGGGCTCCAATAATGGCAATTTTGTTTATTTACATGCCCGTTTAAATGGAAGTGAGCCTCGTCCGAGAACAACACATTATTGAGCGAAGAAAATCGATTCAACATTTCATTCGCAAAGTTTAGTCTCTGAATAGCGTCATTATCTTTTAATTCCTGCACTAACTGAATTTTGTAAGCGTGCAGAAGTAAATCTTTCCTTAAAATCCGCTGTAAAGATGTTCTGGGTACGTTTAGTGCACTGGAACGCTTACGAGTAGACTGGGTAGGATTTTGATGAACAGACTGTGCCACAATGTTGATGTTTTCTTCAATACGAGTTGTCCTTGTCGACCCCACCGCTGTTTATCTAACGTCGAACCAGTCTCTTCGAACTTAGCAACCCAGTTCTTAATCGTTTGAGCTGTTGGACACTTTGTAAAATTGTGTAAATTGTGGTATTCTCGATATTTACGCCGCGCAATGGTTGCCGAATCATTATTTTGATAAAACGCGCGCACACAAAAAGCACGATCCGCTCCAGTGAAACACTCCATGGCGACTGAATTCCCAGACACTGAAGATACTGCCCCCACCTCGCCCGCGCCGCTCACGCTCACCCGTTAAATTTTATTCAAATTTGAAATTTCAAAGGACTTATGGACCACCCTGTATTTTACAAGCGTTACTGAGAATTCTGCGATATTAGCTAGGCAATTTGAGAAAATGTAGAAGTAGCCAAATCCACAGCCCAATTTATTTTACGCGAAAATAGATATCACCCCTGCTGGTACAACACGTAGCAACCTGTTGCGCCATCATTCTGTCCCTAGTAACTGAGAAACGGAAGGTTAAAAGAAAAATAGAGCAAAGAGCGTGGGTGAAGAGTTGGCTCCAGAAGAGGAGCGAATTCAGTCATAACCGCCTGGTCACTGAGCTCAAAATAACGTCAGCTGCGGACTACAAAACTATCTTCGAATGGACGCATCAGCTTCGTTCCGCGAGCTACTCGGAATGGTGAAAAACAACACGGTCATGAGGGACGCAATATCTCCAGAACTGAGATTGTTGGCCACTTTGAGATACCTTGTAAGCGGTGCCTCCTTTGAAGAGCTGAATTTACAGAAACTTCGTTTTTAACCACGGAATAGAGAGGAAACTGCCTGAGCAGCAGGAGTTGGCTGGCCGAAGTTTGCACAAACCGTACCATACACGGTCAAACAAATACTCAAACAAAGGGTGTTTGCACAAATTACTTCAAACAGTTTGCACAACCATTCAAACAGCCCCATAGACGGTCGAACTGTTTGCACAAACACCGTGTTTGCGCTTACATTGTTCGCACGTGTATGGGGGCTTTAAAATAAAGTCAGAAAAAGTAAAAACGATTTGGCCAATTTTTTTTCCAAATACCTCATGCATAGGATGCTTATCTCGGACATCCTGGTCAGTCATTTCATTGTTTTATCTAGCATGAATTATTTTATATTCCAGGCACTCTGAAGGCTAACTTTGAAGAGATGAATAAGCGAAAATCGAGCGATCAGTTGATCATAGAGGAAGATCAGAAATTGAAGGACTGTAACATTAAAATTGCATTAACTAAGAGCAGTGACGTTCAACTGCCAGCTGTGAAATGGGCCAACGTGCAACTAGTGGAATTTAAATCGAGGTATCCTTCTTCAAGAACACATATTTTTCATTTCTTTTCACTTGAACATTATGCAATTATACTAAACCCATAGATAAAATTGATCACAGTTCCAAATTGATATTCATCTTACGTCGGTTGTTTTTTGAAAATATATTTTTTAGAAAATTGGTAAATGGTTTTCAGATATTGCAATGGTGCTAGCAAGGGGCTCATCCTACTGGAGGTTCAGAAGATGCCGGTACCATTAGATCAAATAAAAGGAGAGATATTTAATTTATTCGGTATAACCAATTTCGACCTTTGGCTACAAACTGGAAAGGTGACAAACACCAAAGACTTGGAGAAAGCCGCTAGTGCCACTTTGTACGTTGTTCCGATGGATAAAAAAGTTGAACTGCCTCCTCAGAATGGCACGCCTTTCTGCAAATTATTGAACGTTGTGGAGAACGGTAGTCCTAAGACTATCATTCTTGAAAATCCAGTTGGGTGCCCCACTAACTACAAGGTGTGACAAGATGGAATGGGCTGAATGTATTTTTTGAAAGTAGTTTCATTGTTTGAATCGTTATGTGCTCGATTTTGTCAAAAATGAACATTCATATTTATTTATTATCATTTGGCACTAAGACTTTACACAATTGTTTTGATGTTTATATGAGGGCATGTTCTCGTTTTCTAATAAAGGCAAAAAACGATATTGCTTTTTTTTCAATTCTACGACCATGTTACATTTATTGAGTTAATTCAGTGAAGACCAGGAAAACTGAATGACACAGAAAATGATGCAAGACTTCAAGAACAAAGCGTTTGGAATATGCGGAAACATTTCGTACGGTACTATTCCGAACCTTTGTGGTCGTTTGGATTCCACATACAACTAGTTATTATAGCGTAATGCCCTCAAAAGTGGGATCTGGAGTAACGATGAGGCGCCCCCAAAATATCGACGATTAGGCAGACATAGTTACGCCACCATGCATTAAGAGCGGTGTAGCTGGTGGCATCATCGAGAAGGATCGGTTAACATCGAAAGCGTTCGGGAAGTATTGATCCACATCGTCTATAACGTCAATCAAGCGCGGGAACGCGTCCTTTTTCAGTGCCTTACGAAGCTTTCTACTTGTTCCCTGGTTCAAGTACTTCCACTCCCAGTCTCACTCTCCATGGTTAAGGAAATATAAGTAGGAACCAGGAAAACTAAATGACAGAAAATGTTGCAAAACTTCTAAAACAAAGCGTTTGCGGAAACATTTCGCTCAGTACTATTCCAAAGCTTCGTAGACGTTTGGATTCCATGATACAAGTAGTTATTATAGTGTGATGCCCTCATAAGTGGGATCTTGAGTAACGATGAGACGCCCTCGCAATATCGACGACTAAGCAGCCAGAGTTACTCCACCAAACATTGAGAGCGGTGTAGCTTGTGGCATCATCGAGAAGGATCGGTTAACATCGAAAGCCTTCGAGAAGTATTAGTCCAAACCATCTATAACTTCAATAAAGCGCGGGAACGGGACTTTTTTCAGTGCCTTCTACTTGTTACCTGGGTTCCAGTACTTCCACCCCCAGTCTCACTCTCAATGGTTACGGAAATATAAGTAGGAACCAGGAAAACTGAATGACACAGAAAATGTTGCAAAACTTCAAAAACAAAGCGTTCGTACTATGCGGAATCATTTCGTACTACATGGTACTATTCCGAAGCTTCGTAGACATTTGGTTTCATGATACAACTAGCTGTTATAGTGTAATGAGCTCATAAGTGGGATCTTGGGTAACGATGAGGCGTCCTCGCAATATCGACGACTAGGCAGCCAAAGTTACGCCACCATGCATTAAGGGCGGTGTAGCTTGTGGCATCACAGAGAAGGATCGGTCAACATCGAAAGCGTTCGGGAAGTATTGATCCACATCGTCTATAACTTCAATAAAGTGAGGGAACACGTCCTTTTTCAGTGCCTTACGAAGTTTTCTATTTGTTCCCTGGGTTTCAGTACTTCCACCCCCAGTCTCACTCTCAATGGTTACGAAAATATAAGTAGCAACCAGGAAAACTGAATGACACAGAAAATGTTGCAAAACTTCAAAAACAAAGCGTTCGTTCTATGTGGAATCATTTCGTACTACATGGTACTATTCCGAAGCTTCGTAGACATTTGGTTTCATGATACAACTAGCTATTATAGTGTAATGAGGTCATAAGTGGGATCTTGGGTAACGATGAGGCGCCCCCACAATATTGACGACTAGGCAGCCAGAGTTGCGCCACCATGCATTAAGAGCGCGGTGTTGCTTGTGGCATCATCGAGAAGGATCGGTCAACACTGAAAGCGTTCGGGAAGTATTGATCCACATCGTCTATAACTTCAATAAATCGCGGTAAGACTTCCTTTTTCAGTGCCTTACGAATTTTTCTACTTGTTCCCTGGGTTTCAGTACTTCCACGTTGCCCTCGCAATATCGACAATTAGGCAGCCAGAGTTTCGCCACCAAACATTAGGAGCAGTGTAGCTTGTGGCATCATCGAGAAGGATCGGTCAACATCGAAAGCGTTCGGGAAGTATTGATCCACATCGTCTATACCTTTAATAAAGCGCGGGAACATGTCCTTTTTCAGTGCCTTACGAAGTCTTCTACTTGTTCCCTGGGTTCCAGTACTTACACTCCCAGTCTCACTCTCCATGGGTAAGGAAATATAAGTAGCAACTAGGAAAACTGAATGACACAGAAAATGTTGCAAAACTTGAATAACAAAGCGTTTGTAATATGCGGAAACATTTCGTACGGTACTATTACGAAGCTTCGTAGACGTTTGGGTTCCATGACACAACTAGTTATTATAGTGTAATGCCCTCTTAAGGATCTTGAGCGACGATGAGACGCCCTCGCAATATCGACGATTAGGCAGCCAGAGTTACGCCACCAAACATTAGGAGCGGTGTAGCTTGTGGCATCATCGAGAAGGATCGGTCAACATCGAAAGCGTTCGGGAAGTATTGATCCACTTCGTCTATAACTGCAATAAACCGCGGGAACACGTACTTTTTCAGTACCTGATGTAGTCTTCTAATTGTTCCATGGGTTTCAGTACTTCCACTCCCAGTCTCATTCCCCATCGGTAAGGAAATATAAGTAAGATTTCAAATTATGTCAAGATTTTTTTAATGTTTTTCTGCACTTTTGACCTAGAAAGTGATTAGATCGAAATATTTCACGTTCAGACATGACGTGATAAGATTTCAAGTATGTTCCTGAAGATATAGCATAAATAAAATAAGATAATATAATAAAGATAGCAGGAGCTTGAATTTCACCCTAGCTATTCACTGGTAATATTTAAACTGACATTGGCCGTAACCTCGAAGGTCAAATCAAGCTCAAGATACTTTTGTATGGTGCCCTTTACCGCAGAAACAGGCATAGCGGAAAATTGTTTTTGCCTTGATTTGAGCTTCAAGGTCATAACCAGGGAAAAATGAAGCCTCTGCTGAGAGTTCTTATTGCTTTACCTTCAGAACAAGGGTTTTTACGATGTATCTAACCAGGACGTTCAGGGTAAAAATAATTTACACCCAAAAGGTCATATACCTACCTGAACGTAAAATTTTGGCTCTATTTCCGGAATCAAAAGTATATGATCCCTTGTAAAAAATGCCAAATCCAAGGTCACCAGGATTGCCAAGGAAAAATCTCAGCCTCTATTTTACTTTTGCTAGACATGTTGAGTATTATCCTACCGTTGAGGGATTACGGCATTTTGCCACCCTGTATAATACTGAAATCACCCAATTCGCGCCTATATTTTTTTACAGCTTCTAAACATTTTTCTCCGATCTATTTTAGTGTATACGTAGGTAATTTATCGTCCTGTATATTAGCGCAAAAACAAGGCATTAAACGAGTATAAAATCACCCTAAAATACACTCTAATAAAACGCTAGAGAGAGCACTAGCGCAAAAGCTGTCCCCAGGCGTCTAGGATGTGTTTTAATAACGGTTGCCCTGCACGCTGCTTGAGATAGTGACAACACGCCACATCAAGTCCCGGGGGTGCTTTTGCCGCAGCAACCCCTTATTTCATACTTCGCCGGAAATAATCTACGTTAAAGTTATTTAATTTTCAAGCGGTAGCGTCACCCATACGGGGCGCTGCTGCACGTCCAATAATAAAAGATGAATTGAGGTCGTTATCTCACTATGCGACATCGCTCATAAAGGGTGATATGATAGGCTTTTAATTTCTATTTATTATGAGACACTAAATGTGAAGCGTGCGTACAACTATGTTGATCGTATAAATACATGATGTAATTACATTATCTTCATGTTTGGAACTAAATTATTATTGCTAATTTTAAACGTATACAAATACCTAAATAAATCTAAACACGATGACTTGGACTGGGAGAAATGCAATCCTGAATATTCAATTTGGTCTGAGCCGCCACCGTTATGTGAAATGAATGCCAATAGGGATAAACTAGTGAAAGAGATAAAGAATTTAAATCCAGTAAAACTATTTGAACTTTTCTTTGATGATACGGTTTTGCGGCATATTGTCGATCAGTCCATGTTATATGCATCTCAAAATACTCGATACCAAAGAAGAAATGAAATCCTTCATAAATTCGGACATTTTCCTGCGAAGCTAGAGAAGCAGTTACAATGTACAGTATGTCATTCAAGGGTTCGTCAACACTATACGTATTGAACGTGCCTGTTTCAAGTTACATCATAGAAAATAAACGGTTTCGCCCATTGTACTCAAATGAGTAGGTACAGATATTTTTTTGGTAAAAATAATAAAATATATATGGTTTTATGACCTTCAGTTTTTATTTAGTCCTAATAACCTACCTTATATGCATAATATCCGTTTTCCACGTTCAAGTTTAATTTGGGCGTTAATGGGTTGAATAGGCTAATCTTGTTCAGGGCCTGGTTCAAAACTGCTTTAGCAATATCAGGTCCTCTTGTATCAATCTGAATGTGTCTTCTCAATTTTTTTTATTCTTATTAAGATTGCTCAATAAATATCTTATTCTATTATATTCTTGTTAAGTAACATCCAGCGACTAACGCACTCATGACACTGACTCCACGTGAAATAACTTTGGACGAATTGCGGAGATCGGGCAGATATTAGGTGTAACAAACCATAATGCAGGTTCTTCTAAATCTATCCAACGGTCTCAATGAATTGAAATTCATGGGCAACGATAATAAGAAGTTGATGGATGTACCGACTGCGAAAATTTCCCCCTTGTCAGCCTGCCAAGCAAGGTTAAAAATTGCTTTAAAATAACTAAGCCGAAAATTCTCTTCAGGATCTTTATTTATTTAGAATCCATACATGTCTTGAACAGACAGTTTCCATTAACAGGCATGGAAAAAACAAAAAAAAATCGGAAAACTTTACACCCTGTAATGATCTTTTAGTTCCCATTACTAAAAATTTGATTTTTTTATATAATTCTACGTAGTGACAGCAAGTCAGATAGTAACGCCATTTTTATTAATTCGTGAATGTATTTATTAAATTAATAAATGTACAAACTGCCTTTCTTCAGCAGCAATACAAGCTTGACATCTTAAAAATGTTAGGGCTATTAGATACTATCAAATTCAGCTGCTTCCATTATTCTGACCAGTAGTTCAGTTAAATTTCCGATTGGCTTTGAGTACATTTTTTGTTTCACCGCTCCCTAGTAAAAAAATCAAGTGGATTTAAGTGAGGTGAACAGGCTGGCCACGAAATTGTACCTGTCCGCCCTATCCATCTGCTCGGGTATTCCGCATCAAGGTATTCTCTAACTGAACGCGCATATTGCACC